CCAGAAACCAGAAGAAATAATAAAAATGAGCAATATCTCTTGAATCACAAGCTTTGGGAAAAAAACCCACTGTTCAATTATTGTCTTCAGAACAAATTTAAAAAAATAAATAGAAAGATCAAAACGTCATAAACAGATTTTTTGGCTTAATGATGAAACTCAAGACGCACTGAGCAGTGAAAATTATAAGTGGATCATGAAAAACTCTAAAGAACTTTAACAAACTCTCAAATCACCAAACTTTTCAAAAGTTTTTAACAATTGTTTAACAAAAAGGCTTTTCTACTCTTTATGCACCAAGCTCTCACGATCAATTAAAGACTTTTTAAAATCACTGATAACTGCTTCACTGCTTCTTCAATGTAAAACGGAAATCGGAAATGTTCACATCTTGTGATAAGTCATCAGCAAAATTACTTCTGTACACCACTCTGTACACACAAGTGCTCTGAAGTTGAGATTAAAAGGGAGCTTGAATTCTTTATATGCAACATTTATGTAGACGACGGAAACTAATTTTTTCCCAAACACTTTGAATCCGTTAACACTAATTATTCTCATATATTAGGTGGCCAAATTTTGTATTCCTACGAAACAAAATTTTATTGAAAAATTTTAACATAACGAGATAAGATACTTGCTATGTCCTTCAATTCGACATTCAGATATATCGGAAGCCTTTTAAATTGCAAATAATTATTTTCATTCATATGTCGACTTTATATATCTCAGTTAACTTGAAATAAAAGACACCACAGAATCTGTTACATATTTGGATGTTTTAGATATTTTGACTTTAGAGAAATTCACAACTAAATTGTTTGACAAACGAGATGACTTAATTTTTTCCATCGTCAGCTGTCCTTATTTTTGTAAAAATATTGTACTATCACTTATTTATGATGTTCATGTCTCTCAATTTATTCGACATTTTTTTTATGAGACAGTTATTTTTTTGTAAGTGAGACATGCTACTCACTGATAAGTGAATGATACAGGAATTTCAACAACTTCTTTTAAACTGGCATATCGTCCATTCTTTGGTCATTAAATGACCTTGATAGCAAATGCATTCTTATGTTGAATCGTACTTTGGCTGAATTGTTACATATAAATTGTAAATCTTTGTTTTAATATTTTTTTTACTACGGAAAGTTCTGTCCACCATACCATTATATAGAACTAAGTAGGGGGTGTGTGGCCGATCAAAAGGGATGTTTATTTCTACAATGCACATGATTTAACCTCTGATATTTTAAGGGATTCGTGTTTTATGCCCTCTTTATTGATTTCAAGATTTGTATTGTTTATTTAAGAAATAAGGTATCATTTTTTGAGTTTTATTGGGATGTAAACAGGGTTGGTTTTTTTTGCCGAAGGGAAATGATACCTTATTACTATATATATTTCAAATTCTTCCTTTATATAACATTCTGTATATTTATTGAACTTTAAAGTACAAAGGAAACTGATCAACAATTTTCTCATGTTAACTTTGCTTTCGCGTTCAGTGGATTTTTCATGCCGTTGGGTATGACGAAATCCTTTTCACTTAGAAGATGCAGGAAATAATTGGAAATTAATTTATTACAGCTTTTGCAGTAGATTTTATTGGGCTCATTGTATGTAAAAAAATCAGTTGGTACTATTACTGCTTGAATTGATACTATTTCTTATTCACAAAATACATTTTGAATTGTGACTTAATACTTTAAATTTGCCTGATTGTGACTTTTAACGTGTGTGAAATGCATTATTTTTCACATTTATATAAGTCAACTATTTCTATTGAAGTCTTTCAAAAACATACAAATTTGAATAAGAGATGTATACAGTTATAAATACGCTTGCTTTCAGTAGTGTTATATAAAGGAAAACATTTGCAAATGTAAATATAGATATTTAAAGACAGATCACTGTCTTTTTAAAAATCATTTTCAGATTTTTTTTATTCTGTATGTTTATTGTAATTAAAGGTACAAAGGAAACTGATAAACAATTTTTCCATGTTAACTTTGTTTTCTTCTTATTTATCCCGTCGTATGAAAAAAATTTCCCTTTTAATGGGAGTTGCAAGAAATAATCGCAAATAAATTCATTAATAACAGCGTTTGCAGGACACTATTGAGCTCATTGTGGCACAACACTACATTTATGTAAGTCAAATAATTTATTGAAGTCTTTTAAGAAACATACATTATTCTGTGACCCTTACTGTTGAAAACAAACTTTCTCCATTGAAATTATTCTCTGGTTATCTACAATCTATTGTAACCAGTATTTAAAAAATGTTCTTAAATTCATAGGCATTTGAACCAAAGTAAAATCTTTGTATAGGTCATTACCTTTTCTGTTGCTTCTTCTGTGCTTATTATATGTCTTTAGTGTTACCAAGTACATGTATTTAAAACTAATCGACAAGACACGATTTATTCCCGATTTCCATCCTTTTCATATACTTCTTTTAATAGCTTATTTTATTAAAAAAAGATTGAGTGCTACAAATCTTTTGCAATGCTATTTCTTCGTTAATTACATATGGAATTTAAGCATGAAATTTACCAATTTTTCGTCGTTTTTTGTTACAATTTAGTTCAAAAACTTTAATACCTCATATTTATGTTCGGCGTACATAGTGTGCTATCTGACGTAATTTAAAACTTTTTATTATACCTCATTATAAATATTCTACACAACGCATTATCTACTTCTTATATTCATGTTCTTTTCACATATTCCACCTCTCAAAGTATTTTCCCGCAATATAGTTACATTCGTGACGTAATTTAAAACTTTATATAACATTAAAAGATGTTTTAAAGTTAACAATGATAGTGAATTTGAGAGCAATGCCGAATTTGAAAGTTTATGTTTATTTCAAAGGTTTTGCTTGTTTATATAATAAACGACTTTGCAAGAATTCAGCCAAAAAATCTCCCCTGGAGCCAAAAAATCAATAAACACAATAATTATAATATCACATTGTTTGACACATAATTTTGAAAATAGACTTAAAGACTTGATCTCCGGGGCATAAAAATCATTAAGTACGATTGTATTTGTGTTTGTCTTAAAAAGACGTCAAGTTCCATGTAATGAAAAAGCAATGAATTTACGGCCGCTAATAATTGAAAATTTAGTGAAAAAAGCTTATAAAAATTTTGGCTGTAAATTATGATCTAAATTTCCGGTTTCTCGCTGATAAGTTGAAAGTTAGGGCTTTCACATTGTTGTGCATTTAGTACACTAATTAAGTTAGAAATTATGATATTGACAACAGTTTTGCTAAACAAAATTATTTTATATATTCTATTACAGTATGTACATGTATGTGTAGTAGTGCAAGATATATGGCATCCTACTCGCTTGGGCTAGTGGGTTAACTCTTTAGCCGAATTGGTACAGCACTGAACTGGCCTAGCAGAGCATCGATTATAATCCCCAAACAGGAACAAAATTGTCTCTGTTACATATGCGTAGCGATTATTAGTGTATATGATTTGACCATGAAAGTTTTGTTTTTTAGGGTTTTGGCATTTTATTATCTTAATTTTGTTGCTAAATAGATGAATTATATGAAAAAAATTCGAAATTTTAATAAGGTAATAATGATAATATCAAAAAATGGTTTCATTGTTATTTTTCTATAATAATGACGCTTGCAATGAATTTTATAATGCTATTAAGTTAAATTTACCATTGATCAGAACTTGAATTTCGATTACATCAGCCTAATAATTACATGTTTTGGTACATGCGTCATCAACAGAGTGCGTTTCTTTTGAAAAATTAGAAGGTCATAAAAGCGAACGACAGCAATGAATGTTACAAAGCGCATTTCCTAATGGAATCAAAGTAATAATGAATAAAGTTAGGCTCTACATAAAACGCCAATTTTTTAATCAAATCAGACTATAATTATCAAGAATGACATTTTTAACACTGTCTATTAATCAAATCGGATATTATTTGATTAGATATCATAAATGGCATATTAATGTGTGACATTTATTAATTAATCGATTATCTGAAGTTGTATTACATTGTAGGCTGTGTTTCAAATACAATATCCATATGTCACTCTCTGGAATGCCGTTACTAATAAAGAATTAATTCAAAGTTCTGTTTGCCAATGTTTCAAAGCGTATCTGTTATATCAAAATTGAAAAACGTTTTCCCTTTTTTCTTGATTTCCTTCTATAAGCAATACCTTCTTTGATAAAATTTACTTTGTTTACTAGTCTGTATAGCAATAAAATTTGGCGTTTTGCCTCACAGTTTTGGCGTAATTTACTGTCAATATATCAGAATATTAATGAAACTTGCTTTGCTCACCAGTAATTCCCCTTTGATATATATATATATATATATATATATATATATATATATATATATATATATATATATATATATATATCTATATATATATATATATATATATATATATATATATATATCTTAAGGATACATACCACAAACAAATTTTCTTATCTCCCATACAGAAGAGTTACACTGGTATTTATCAATATTTCTGTAAATGGAAATGTAATTGATAAATTTTAGTTTTGTAAAGTATTAAAATACACTCTTGAAAATGTAAGCCGAAGCTTTGGAGCAAGAAAACTGAATACATTTTATAAACTTAAAAAACATACTGAACTGTAAAACTGCATTTTTGCACTTTTTCAAACATTAAGTTGTTTAACTAAACAAATACTGTATCACTTCTACAATTAGAATGGCACAAAATTTACCAAAGATATCTGAATTTCGGAAGAAAAAGAGTTTGTGATATTTATCCTTTAGCAAATATCTCATATAAAGATTTTCTATTAGTTTCAATTTGGTATTGCAGCGAACCTTTCCTACAAAAGAAAAAAATATTGTCTCTAAAGATACATTGTCCTATAAATGATAGTCGTAGAAAATTGTTGTCTCTGTCAATTTCAATGTAGATGTTTGAAATTTGCCACTAATCTTTTTTTAAATATAATTTACAGGCTATCATCCATATTTTTGGTTCAATGTTGAAGCATCTTTTCTTATTTTGATTGCTGCGACTTTGGATGTTGTTTTACCATTTGGTTTCCATAGCATTGGATTTGTTACACCAAACAGGAGAGAATCAACTTTTGTGGATCCCATACTTGGGCCTTATAAAAAGGAAACAAATGAAATACCCGTTTGGAGAAAGTTTCACTACTGGAAAAGAAAGAGAAATGATTTGTATGAAAATCAATTTCCTGTAATAGAATCCCAATCCAAGAATGAACCTATTATTTCTAATACTGATACAGATGTGTTATTCAACGAACCCAAACTTTATGACCCCTTTGATCTAGACGATTTTCCAAGTACACCCAATGATGATCTAAATCCAGACTTGGATTTGACTGACCTACTTTCAGACGCACCATCTGATCAGGGTGATTCAGGAGTATGGCAGACCAGTGAACAAGATAAAAGTTCAGAAAATCTTCTGTCCAAACTTCTTTTACAAGACAGTGAAAACCAAAACAAAGGTGGTTTCCATAAGAATGAGATCAAAACGAGAAGTCCATTAACTCCAAGAGAAGGGTTTTTTCCATCCGGGGTATGTTTTAATCTAGAACATTTCTCGCTAACAAAATTATTTAGATATTATTGTCTTTCAGAAGTAGACATTTTTGGTTCAAAAAAATACATACTATCTATCAAATAATTTAAAGTGAAAAATTAACAGAGTGTACAATTTGTAAGTGAATGAGTTCCCAAAAATCACTTAATTCACAGTGAATTTTTTTCATATAATCAAAGACTATACACACATCATTAAAACAAATAATGAAAAATATCTAATATCAGATTTTTACAACGAATCCTGAATGTTTGCTTTTCGACTTTAAGTAATTGTTGTACAGATTTTTTCATAGTTTGTCTGTTAAATCATGTTAGGGTAGAATTTTATGATTTTTTTTCTGGCAACACAAAAATTCAGAAATTTGCTTAGATGGTGTTTAGATCTATACAATACATAAGGCAAAACAGTTATCGTAAACTTTTTGTTTAAAAAAATCCTTTATCTTAAGAACAAAAATATTTGATCAAATTAATGGTCATAATGCATTTAACTTAAACCAAAATACATTATCTATTATGTTATACTTAAAAAGGGGAGTAAAGTCGATATACGAAATGTGTCTTGTATGCAATGTTTAATACAGTCATTCTTATATTACATTATTTCTATACAGGTGAATTGTGCAAAGACTATTTCACTAAGTGGAACAACAAATTGCTTGCAAGATGAAGATTGTAAAGATTGTTACGGATTCGTTTTTCATTGTGAGAGCAATTTCTGTAAGCCTGGGCCACGACCAAGTTGTTCTGGGGGCTGTGGTACGTAATTCTATTCACTCAGTTTGTTTAATTTCTAGATTTTATCTAGAATTGAAAAATATTAATTTTTCATTTTTTCCCACCAAAATGTAATCTGATATAAATTTAGTTGTTTTACCGATATATGCAACGTTTTGGTATTCGTTATATGCTTAATAAAAATTCAATTACTTTTTTAGCAGATTTGACAGACACATTTCCATCTTTTGCCCTTAAGTGAAAAACTTCTCACAAAACGAAAATGGAACCTTTGAATCAGAACATGTAAGACGGAACACAGATAGACATGCGACGTTAAAATAATGTATTTTTGGATACTTTCTTGCAGCTCATTGTTGTATAGTTAATGAAAAATAATAAAGCAACAGATATAAGCACTGTTAAAATATCACCGACTTGGATATTTTACCACAAATGAACGGCATTAAGACCCGAGAATCTCCGTCATGCATTCATGGATATCAAGGATCGAGATCAATCTCAAGGAATTTTTGGGCATTTGAAAGAACTATATTTTCTTGAAATAAACCGAAATGGTTGCATTGTTTGTTTTGTTATTTTTAACTTCCTTTTCCTTGAAATATTTAAATTATTCATGAATGTTCAATTAAAGACTCTTTAGCATTAGTTAAAAATAATACAATTGAAAAAAAATGTACCAGTATTTGATATGTAACCACCTGTTCCTTCCTGTCAAATTGTATCCCTAGAGAGGGAGAGTAGAATTGATTGGTTAAATTTGTTGAGACGTCCCTTTTGAGAATTTTTTCACTCAAATTCAGACACCATCACTTGCCAATCGAGAGCCGAAAAATTTTGTCCTATACTCGCCACGACGGCCATTAAGCTTTGAGGGGTCTTTTACGTGCCAGCACCTACTGTGGCACGGGGCCTTGGTTTATACCGTCTCATCCGAAGAACCGGTATCGACGTCCCATAATGGGATTCGAACCCGCAACAAAAGGATCAACTCCTTACTTCGCGACTCTAGTACTAGTGTAGACGCTCTTACCAATGTGACACGCGGGCGACAGGAGAGAAGGCGACCTTTGACTAAAGATTAACCTTGATTGAAAAGATTTAAGTAGGCATGCATTTGGTGTTTCTGTCTTTTACTAATAAAATATTCAAAAACGTTTTCAGAGAACGAATAAATCTTTAACAGAATAAGGCAACTGTAAGAAAAGATGAAGTTTTAGGGTTTTCAATTTTCTCGTATTAAGGAGGAACAGGACCTTTCGCTGAAAAATTCATGTCAATGAAATTTCTTCGTATTTTTTATATTACTAATTTAATATGTACTTAACATTTTAAAACGGTCCTGTCATGGGATTTCTTGACTTATTTAAAAGATATAACCCCACAAATACCGCCCTCTATATAGTTTGAATGGAGTCTAAATACTTCATGTTTTAACGAATTCAATAAATCTGTTTTAACAAATTAAATTCGTTATAACGAATTCAATAAGTCTGTTTTAACAAATTAAATTCGTTATAACGAATTCAATAGGTCTGTTTAAACAAACTTAAATCCGTTATAACGAATTCAATAGATCTGTTTTAACAAATTAAATTCGTTATAATGATTTTTAAAAATCGTTATGACGAATTCAAAAATATATTTTGATAGGTCCTACATGGGCTTCCGTTGTTTTATATTGAACCTATTTCTATTATCCATTACACAGGTCACAAAAACACGTAATATTTTTTACATTTTATTACAAAGATAAGTTTTATTTGCGCAAACGAATTTAAAATACTTTGACACTGAAAAGACAACATGGAAGGATCCCTTATTACCCAGCTGTAGGCAACACAGTAGGGCTAGTCCCCAGCATGTCCACAGTGATATCTAGAAAAATAAAAGAAACATCACTTTTGACTTAATAAATACTATTAAAAAAACTAATTAAAAATTAATATTAAAGCTACACTGTATGATCTTTTACTTTTTTTTATTGCGAAGGCCAATCTATGTATAATTAAATCAATTTAAAATAAATATCAAAGCAGCGCAAAATGATACTTTATCTTTTCATTGCGAAGGCCAATCTATGTACATGTATGTATAATCAAAACTAATTTAACAAGATTTTGAATTCCATGCTGGACTTGCAATTATTATTTCTTTTTCAGATATCTTATTGAAATGAAGTCGTTGATTTGAATGTATAATAAGTTTCTAAAGTTTAAGTATTTTTTTTATACATCCCAAAATTATGTAGGAAAAAATATTGTTCAAAAGAAATGTAAATTAAATATTTTTGTCTTCAATCACAAAGGAAATGCTGTATTATTAAATATAACCTCATAAATACTCACTCTTTTTCTTCAATTCTAAACATCCCTCTTGATTACAGTCGTTTCCAAAGCAACAAGCTGAGCAGACGACAAGGCCCTGATTTTCCGCGCTGTTGACTCGTTTGTTCACGGCTCCTATGATGTGACCATCCACGTTGTTCTGCAAGGCAGCTGCGCATATCTGAAAAAAAAGTTGAAATAAGAAGAAAGTAAAACTTTTAAATACAAAATGACATTTTACAGTAATGTTCATATTTTGTTTTGTATGCTTAAATAAGAAAGTAACATTATTCAATTGTTAAATTTTATACATGTTTTTTTTTAAATGTAAATCTAAGTAATCAATAAATATAAGAAAATGTAACATTTTGATTTTAAAAACAATCAATCTAGGTAAGTAATATACGTACATGCCTCTCCTCACAGAAGTATCTGTAAAGTACATCCCCTCCAACAATGTGAATAGCGGTGCCACAGACCTAAAGAAAGTTACATTTTAAAGAAAATTTATCCCCAGTATAGAAACATTTGACCTAATCTTTTTTGTTTCGGTACATATTTTTTCAGATATTTTGCATTGGTTTATTTTCTATATTTCATTCCATTTGCCATATAAATATCAGTATTATGTTAATTTTTTTGCAGTTTAAATTAGAAAAATATAATATCAAGAAATAATTTGTCTGTATTCAGAAACAAATACCTGTGTATCCTGACACACTTGTCGGTTTGTGCATCCTCCCTTCGTTCTAACAAGATCGTCACAAACTAAGCATCCAGATTTTGATACACCCTCTGGAAAAACACACAATACATTTATATATATATTTTTTCCTGAATAGTCACTAATCTCTCTTTAATTGTATGTGGTCACCCATTAAAATTGCAAGACTTTTTTTTATTATCAAACAACATGAAGACATCGGAGCCTGTTTTATTTCAAGTAAGATTTTTACTGGACTTTTTACTAGAATTGTTACCAATCCCCTTGTATGAATTATACGATAAAATATGTTAAAAAAACTAGACTGGGCGATATTGCGACTTCTGTCAATAAAAATGTTATTCAAAAGTTTAAGAAATTGGGGGTTTTAAATTCTTAGCTGGTCAAATATTTTATCATCAAGAAGTATGAAGACCTGTTCCATTTAAATTTAGGTTTTACTAGACTCAAGGATATAGCGACGTCTGACCATGAAAAAGGATAAATTTGAAAGCGGTTAACGTTTAAGAAATTAAAAGTGTTAACTTCTTGTCTGCCCCAAAACTTTACGGGAATAGATATTAGAATCTTTTGCTTTCAAAATTATCAGTAGATCTGTGTGTATTGCGAAACAATAGTCATTTGGATACTAATGTATCCATTAAATCTGGGCTTACTCTGAGGGCAATCCCGTTTGAATATCACAATTATGAATTTTATTTGGATAATTATTTTTTTGGTTGCGATTGCTAAACATATTACGCTAGTTCTAAGGCACCTGATCCCACCTCTCATGGTTTGGGGGTGTGCTCATATTTTGTATTATTTAATGGACCTTTGAGACCTTTGATCTTGAAAACTGTTCGTTATATCCATATGTTTCATTCTAAGAGGTTCTGTTGTCAAGTCTTTTGTCAATACCCATTGCAGTTTGATTCATATCGGACAAAAGGTTGCTATAAAAGAAATAAATAAGCTGGTTTTTTTTCCTGGAAATAGGATTCAGGGGACTAATTTTTTTGGCGTTTGTGTCTGATGGTTTAATTTTCCCAAGTGTCTTCTTTTTATCATGAGCTTTTTGGTTGAATCATACTTCTTCTTCATATCGTAAAATTAAAAAAAAAGTTATTCATGATTTTCAACTCTCCCTGACCAACTCATGAGATATTTCTGATTTGGACAATTATCAAATTAAGCAGTGATCGCGGAAATGGAAGGTGCAATTATGAATTAGAAGAGCAAAAATATCAATTTTTCATCTTATACTGATGGATAACTTCCATTTTGGAAAATATTTTAGAAAGATTTTAAAGATGGAAATTCATTCAATTATTTAAGTTTTCCAAAACGATTTTCATAAAATTTAATAAATTTCAGACGTACTTTCTCCACATAGGTTAGCGTTACAAGGTCCATGTTCAGTGGTTGGTGCGGAATTACAACACTCTACACAGTTAGTATAGTCACTTCTCTTCCGCCCGCTCCCTAAACTTTGCATCAGTGCACACACCTGGTAGCAGGAATCGGGATCAATTATATTTACACGTTTTTTCAATGTTTTCATATCACACTTGTTTCAAAACAACAGTGAAAAAAATGATTTAGAATTATTGCGTTATGGTGAAAAACTTAATTTTAGCAATAAAAGATATGTCTGAACGTAGGTACATGTATCATCATATTGAATGGTATTGAAAGCATTGCAAAACACTTTTGCCTAGAAATAAATTGAAAATATGATATTAAACGATGAATCAGCACACCTGAATGCAATATACATAGTGATAATTTTTAAAGGTGTAATTTCAATTTTACTTCAGAGAGAAACAAACCGATTGTGATCGACAACCAGCAACATATGCAGTTTTAAGTTCCTGTGTGGTGATTTTCTCTAAATAGCATTCCTGTAACAAAAAATAAGTAAATGAAACCAGAAACTCTGTTTTGTTTGTCTGAAATTGATTATCTAATAAGGTGCTGTTAAAAGCGCTTATTTTTGCTAGGAGTAAATAAACTTTAACAAATAAATTGATCTTCAATTTACTACATGTATCTAAAAACTTTTTCCTAAATTAACTTACCTACATATTTTCCTGATATCGACGGACGTTAATATAAGAAGGATGAAGAAAAGAAAATTGATCTCAATTAACTCGTTCATTCAAGTAAAATACATTCATAAATTTGTCTCTTTTTAATTCAATTCAAAATACATTGTAATATTTTAGATGTCTTTACCAAAATTATTCGATATTAAAGGGCTTAGAATTCCACACGATAACAAA